GCTGTGAACAGTCTGCCATTGTTTCGACACCGGAGCAGGTGTAGACAAGATTGTCTCCTAAGCGATCGAGGTGTTCTGTTGTTGGATGTAATAATAAACATAGCAGTCGTCATTTACTCCTGACATCTGAGCCGCTGAAAATGCAGTGGATTACGTTTGTTTCTGAAGGGAATGCACACCCCGATCTACCTAAAGGCGTCTATGTTCATGTGAATCATTTGTGATACAGCTTCACCTACTGAAGAAGTGAGTATAAGGTTTTTTTAATGAATCTTTACAAATCACCTTTCCTAATAATGTGCTAGTTAGCAAGTTCCACAACAAATGCCACTGAAGTTTCAGAGAACTGCTCATCACCCCACAGAAGAGAGGGGCAGGGTGTGCAGAGCTCATTAGCATTTAAAGGGACATGCACCGAAATGGTTCACTGTGAACAGAGCTGTTTTTGACAAGATGAAAAGGGTGTTGTTTTAGGCCATGTCCACACGTACACGGGTATTTTTATAAACTGAGTTTTCCTTCTTCTGTTTAAAAAAAAAATATCCATCCACATGAAAACACAAACGCATGCAATGAAGCACTCTCAAGAGCATGCCAAACCAACAGGTGGCGATATAATCTCAACCGTAAAGCCATGTTGGCCAATTAGAAGCCTGAAAAAGTTTCCAGTAGGCAGAGATAACAGAGCAGGCTCTGACATCACAAGCCAAAAACTCCGGTTTCGCTGTCTACACGATAACACTGCAACCAGAGTTTTTGAAATTCTTCACCCTGGCAGGCGTTTTCAAAAATGTTCGGTTTCAGTGAACTGGTGCTGCGTTTGAATGTGGACGAATGGCCTAACCGCATAGAAAAAGCTGCGATTTTAAAAATAACCGCGTTCATGTGGACAGGGCCTTACACTACCATTGAGAAATTTTAACCAAAGTATGTTATAGAATTTGTATTAAGACCCCAAAGAATCATATCAACTTGTGGAAAATGGGCATCCGATGACCCCTTTAAAGTCACATCTGGAACCAATTTTCTAGGTAATGAATATTTACCTTTTTGTTTTTGTTCCCTACACTCTAAAAAATGCTGGATTAAAAACAACCCAACTTGGGTTATTTGGCAACCCAGCGCTGGGTAAATATTCGACAGAACACAAGCTGGGTTATTTTGACCCAGCTGGTTGGGTTAAATGTTTTTACCAAACATGCTGGGTTGTTTTATTTAAGTCATCTATTGCAAGAACACTTGGACAAAATACAAGGCAAATTGAATTTATTTGGGTTAATACAGCATAGTTTACAATAGAACATACATTTAAACTGTTTAACAAGTATTTTAGACTTACAAAATGTTTTAACATTTAAAAGTAGCATTTTAATTAAAGTGTATTCAACCGTTTTCTGTAATCGCTTTTCACTGAAATAGTGCTAATTCCCGTGCCGATGTGTCGCCGAAATCTGAGCCAGTGAAGGGCTGCTGTTCGCGGGGGACTGCGAACCTCTTACCACGGCCTTGCATTTCACTTGTAGCTGAAAGATGCCATGACTGACTCCAAAACCTGCCCATAAACAAACAGTACTGAGATTAGAGAACATATTTTAACAAATTAAATGAAACTCAGTACTATAATGATTAAAATCCATTTATGTTGTGCAAGGCAAAAGGCGTTTCCATCATGCGAAATGACCGCTGCTGACGCAGCTGACTGACATTGTGTAAAATAATACAATTTACAGCACAGTAAAGACTTTATAAATGAAATAAAATTTATACAAACCTTTATTTCGCTAAAGAAGTGCACCAAATCGGCGGCAGCAGCACTGAGAACTGCTCACTCCTGTACTGGATGCAAAAAGCCCACGCTCTGACCGTAACTCAGCAGCATGGGTTGTTTCATCAGAGACAGGCTCAACCCAGCAGCTGGGTAGAAAAAAAATAACTTAGCATTAAATATGACCCAGCAACTTAGTTACAGAAAACTACCCAGCACCTGGGTAAAAAATATTTTAAAAATAACCCAATAAAATTACCCAACAAGTTGAACCCAGCATTTGAGTAAAAAAAACAACCCAGCACCTGGGTAAAAATATAAAAAATAACCCAATAAAAGAACCCAGAGTGTATGCTTTATACTAAAGTAATAAAATCATCCAATTTGATAATTTTCTTTTTTGTTGTAGATGCCAATCACCCACCAATGCAAATCGGAGAGCAGAATGCAAGTCATTTTATTCTTAAAAAATAATATTGTTTATATTATTATGTTTTCATAAATAGTTTCCAAACATTTTCTAATTAAATTACATTAAATTCATTTTTTACCTTGTAATGTTACTCTCCACGCTTGAGGTTGTGTCAAGCCATAATTTTGACAGAACCACAGTGTTTGGGGGAAATCATTTGACAAATCTTTTAGAGTTGTCTTTGCACGCTGAACAGGGAAAAAAATCTTCGTCAAATTCACAGCATCACACATTCTAGTTTAGCGGAGGCCAGCTGCTAAGAGCAGTGCGGTTAAACCTCACTTCTCTGATCTCAAGAGGCACACTAGTGACTGACGCTCAAGGCTGCAGTCTTTAGCAGCCTTGTTAGCGCGCCCAACTTCCATGCCAGAAACACCTGTACAAATTCCACTCGGAACAAGTGAGGGGAGTAGAACCCAGAGGGGTTACATATTCACCACTCACTGATGACCCCTGTATATTCACAGAATAAACAACAAGAATAAATGCAGATATATATGTTTTTTTTCCACCATGCACCTCAGCAAACCAAAATCCTACTCAGTGAATTTATTATTTATTTCTACCATTACTTTATTAAACTGTGGAAAACATAGGCTTATTCAGATTCTATGGTTTCAAATGCTAATAAGTTATTGACTGACCTCTGTGTCTCTATTTTTGATTGAAATATTACATTAAGGGTTATGATTATGAGGCTGATTATGCCAACATGGATGATCTCAATGTGTATGGAAATATCTGATGAGCAAAACAAGGATCAACAGTGTTTTTTTCTTTAATGCTCAAAAAATACAGAAGATTGCATACTAATAGAAATATAGTCAGAGTCTGCAGCGTGTATAGACTTTATTGATTTTATTAATGTTATTGTCTCTGCTCTACTTTTAGTCCAACAAGTCGCTGAATTAGTCACTGAAAAAAAATTCCAATCAGACCAAAAAAGGTCTCTCAAAAATTTAGTTTTTATTTTCCATATGCAAGAAGTGAAAAAAATGACAAAAGTACAGTGTATTAAAAACAGACCAAAGAGCATGCTCTACTTTGCCATTTATCTATGCTTGCAGCATGTTTGTGTGAGCACACAAGTAGAAATTAAAATGGCATTAAAAATGGATCCGAAAATGACATCCATTTTAGCATTTTATTATTTATATAATAATCTCTATAAGCATCACGTGCTCTATATCACCCATAACTAATCTGCATTTGTTCCAGGCATTAATAGAACAAAGTAGGCTATGTGGTATGTGTTAATGATGTCAGTATCTTTTAATAGCAGCTAACTTTCCGTTGCACTCAGAGACTCTACAGCAACCAGCACTGCATGCTTGCACAGGCTTTAGGATTTTGAATGAATTTGCCAGAGAAGAAACACAACATGTTTTAGTCACATTCACCACACTTCCCAACGGTATACAGTTACACAGTATATACAGTATAAATACAGTTTTCTTCCCAAAATTTCCAATAATTGACTGATTCTGTACAAACCTGTTTTTAACATAAAATGCAATTAACATAAAACTTTATTTGCACATCTTCTCTTTCACTTGAATGTCCAGTTAATGCCTTTATGAATCATCAGAGGTCAAAGGTCAACTACAGTAATTAATTCATGCTGTAAGTACATTTTACCCCAGAAACCAGCAAATCTGTAGAATATGCAGTACTGCAGCAAACAGTAAATTGTGCTGTTGTACCGCTGCAGTATTGTTGCCGCCGCCACCATGTCGTGGAGACGCTGTGTGTTTCATTGCGAAAGCTAAGCTACTTTGTTTGGCCTTCCAAAAGAGTACATAATGTTTCTATAAAGTGGGGCAGTTCCAACTTTGCATGACAGTCTGGCGCTTCTGTCTCACAGCCTGTAAGTACTTTTATATTTAAAGGATTTGCCACTGATGATTCAAACGCGAGTTTGAGCAGTGTAGAGTAGCGTTTGTTGTTTGTCATTTCTCCGATCACAAATGCAGACATTGTTTTATGTTTACGTGGCACAATACGCAACGCAAAGCGTAAAAACACAGTATAAGTCATTATAATCAGTAATTATGTCCCCACTGGATGCAACAAATGCCTCGTTTGTAATGGGTTTTATTGGTTTTGTCTCGTCATGCCGGGACACATGGAAACACAGTATGGTAAGGGGCGTAACATTTCCGTCACACGCTTTTGGTATTCAGCCAATTACAATACACTGGATAGCTGGCCAATCAGATCACACCTCGCTTTTCAGACCGATGAGCTTTGTAAAAATCAACGCGTTTCAGAAAGGCGGGGCATAGAGGAGAAACAATAATGTACATTATGTGGAAAATAATGTTCTTTTTAGCAACATCATATGACCCCTTTAATGCAAATTTGTTTGTCATTAACATTTGAAAGTATATTGCTACTGAATTAATAAACTGTAATTAAACCAAATGTTCTCAGAAATAATCATCTTTGTAAAAATGATTGTGAAAAGAAAATGCATAATCCTAATTGGGCACAATAACAAGTTCAGATTTAATAACGAGCTGTGTTACACGTTAAGTTCAGTTTGGCATTTTGTACATTGTTTTTAAATGTACCACTTCTTAACCCTCTCTTGTCAGAGTCGCAAATTGTGGTATTCATGTCAGGAAATACTGTTTTTGACTGCGGTGTCACAACACAAGCACCATGATGTGATGAGCTCTGACAAGATCAGGGAAATATTTTTCATCCTGGTGGGTGTGGGTGAGAACACTTTTCTGAAAAATATGCTTCTACTTTCTCTCACTTCGCATATTTTACTCTTCTTGGTAAAAGGTTCTTCTTATCCTTTCCTCAACAGAGGACTACTGAGAAGGTAGGAATGCAAAATAAAATGGTTACGTTAAAGTGCTTTAGAAGAAGACTGAAGGGAGAACAAATGTATTATTATTAAATCATTATTGTGAAAACTACAATTTAAGTGATAAACTGTTAGGCTGGAAGTTCACCCATTATTGACATTTAACTTTGGTTTTTGTTTATGTATTGACCCAGGAACATGAAAGCACCACTTCTACTTCATTTACTTTTCCAAGGTACGTTGTCTGTTGTCCTCTTTTGGGCATGTTCTGTCACAGAAAATGTTTCTATAACAGAAATGTCCACATTAGGCTACTCAGTTATGAAATACCAAAATCATATCGAAATAATAGGCTACAATTTTACACACACAGGGACAACTTTATTCACAGCAGTCAAAAAAATGCCTACCATCTGCCTTACACTCACAAGATCAGTCATATGTTTTATTCCGTGATAAAATAATGTGAAGCTATAAAAGAGACACTAATATTCTCAGTTTAATCAACATTTTGAAAAAAAACGTGAAACCCATAAGTCATTGTGCAAAAGCATTAGCCTTTACAGTGTAAACTGTGTGTCTGTGTGGCATTTCGAGGGTGAGTTGTCAAGGGTAGAAATTTTATGTTGCCTCAAGTTGGCGGTGGTAAAGGACTACAGATGAAGATGGAGGCTCTCTAAAAACTACAACATCCAGATCACCTACCAGTGAAGACTAAACAGATTAAAAATGCTGTTTAATTTACAAGTACTGAGACTAAAAACAAACTCTGTCAGATCATTGAATTTCATTTAAATCTAGACTGTATTTGAATATAGATGGTGATTTTTTTTCTTGGACAATATGGAAAGAACGTTATTTCTAAACGCAATATAAAATGACGATTGACACATGCCCATTCCATTTTATGACTAATTTAATAAGTTTCTCATACTATACACCAAATCAGCAATGACAAGATTTAACAATCATATAAAAACAGCTAAACATCTTTACACTAAATGTTTACAGCAGTCGCATGAGCTGAATCTACTATTGACACTTATGAAATCTACAAAGTTTAGTGTATTATAGTGTGCTATACTAACAGAAAAAAATATGGGACAAATGAAATGATACAATTTCCAGCCTAAATAGCATACAGCCATTAATGACTCCAACTTTTCTCCTACAGGTGTTCTGCTCTATGATGCTTTGGGATGGGAAGTGAGAATGCCAAAAGACATTCACGGCCTCACGGGTTCCTGTTTGGTCATACCATGTTCTTTCAGCTACACATCAAACCCACCCAAAGACCCACGTAGAGTTGTGTGGTATCAGTGGGTCTCTAGAGGTTATCCTTTAGTTTACGATCCTTTGTATGCAGACAATGTCATCGAGAAGTTCAGAGGAAAAACTGATTTATACGGAAGCTCAAGTAAGGATTGCAGTCTGCTGATCAAAAACCTGGAACCGTCCCACCATGGAGAACAATTATATGCATGGATTGACCCTGAAAATGTTGGGTATCGCACCTACGCATTTTATGATGTCACTTCTACAATCCTTGTCAAAGGTATGGAAATACGTTTTTCTTTCTTTAACTCGTGATCTAGTTGTGAGAGTGTGTTGCCTAATTGTGACATTTCTGCTATTTGTAGCAAGTCCACAGCAGCCCAGCATCAAAATTTTTGGAGGTGAAAAGACTGGTGACACCATCACAGTAGCATGTTCAACTTTCCACACGTGTCCATACAGCAAACCAAGCATCACTCTGAACGGTATAGAAGGATCTGATGAAATAGAGAATGAGCATTTTAAAGACGGCCTGTGGAAAATCACTCTGACATGCACAGGTGTTGTAAAGACAGAACATTCGACTATTGAGTGTTCAGTAACACATTATGGTGGAATAACAGTGACAGCTACAAAAGATAAAAGTGCCAAATGTGAGTAAACACAAACATGAACTGCTTTGTGTGATGTTAGCTCTAAGTTCAGTTAAAATGCCACAGTTGGACCTATTACAAGGTTTCAGTTCAATTTCAGGTGTTCATCATAACATATCGATTGAGCCTGAACTGGCAGATGTCACAGAGGGCGTCGCAAAGAACTTCACTTGTACCATCTACCATTCCTGCCAGAAAGAGAATCCAAACATCACATGGAACTATGAGAACGTGCAGGTCACAGAGTGGAACAAAACACTTTCTGGTTTAGATCAGATCACCTATTCCAACATAACCTTTCTGGGTGCAAAAGAAGACCATGGGAAGAAATTGATATGTACTGCAAAATTTTCTGGAAGAGACATTATGGCATTTGTTGTCTTAAATGTGCAAAGTGAGTAATTCATTAGCATTTTGTCCCACCCATATATCATAATTTATATGGTTTTATACTGATTCTCTAGAGCTCCAAATCTTGTGAATCCAATCCAGAAAGAAGCATGTGCTTTGTTTTTTTCCCTGTATTTCATACTTACACCATTGCCTTGCCTTTCAGATAAGTTATGATATCAGTTTTAATATCAGTCGTGTGCTAAAAAAATTATATATTTGTTTTACCCCTTTCCATCATGAGGCAGACCCAGTGCTCACTGGACTCAAGACTATTGGTCTTTACATCTTAACACCCTCACTTTTGTTCCTTCTGGCTTGTATACTTACTGTAGTCATCATTTACAAGAAGCGACAAAGGTAACTCTTTGTTTATGTTTCTTTAAGCCAGGTGTTCCCAAATTGAACTTCATTGTACATGAACTAAAATACTGATAAATTTGTTGTAAATGAAATGAGAAGATGGTATTCAAAGACTTGTCTCTTTCTGTCTATTTCCATTATTATAACGTATCCATTTATAACTTCATACTTCAACAAAAGATAATTATATATTCTGAGAACAAAGTAGATGATGTCTAATACAAATTGCCATACCACTTACCATATTTGTCTGTGTAGATCTTCATTGGATGACATAAAACAAGCAATGCTTATCTAATTACAATATAATTGTTGTGCATTTGCTGTCTTTGATTCTTGATTATGTGATCTTTAATTACCTGTAATTTCATTTAAAAGTTATTTCAAATATGTTGGACCTGTCAGGAATCAAACGCATTAAACTTGAGGTCAAATCACACAGGAAATAAAGTAGAAATTAAACAAAAGGTTAAAGGCGTTATTAAAACTTACAGCATCAGCTTCTTTTTCTTACACATAACATCTGTTCCCAGGTCAAAAGATGCAAGTACAGAGACAGGAAAAAAGCCTTTCTCCAAACCTCGAATGCCATCACCAAAGAGGTACAGCAACTTTGAACCACATTAGGTCTCTAATAAGTGGATGTTCAGTCTTTTACATTTTTCAAAAGTAACAAATTATGCTTGGCATTTAAATGAAATAACAACAAAAATGTATATTTTCCCCCATGCACCTCAGTGATCCAAAATCCCATCCAGTGAGTATATTGTTTATTTCTGCTATTAGTGTGTTAAAATCTGGAAATAGATTATTTGACAAATTCTTACTAAAATTACTGATGTCTGGCTTTGTACTTTCTTGAAATATTCCGTAAGGATTATAATTATGAAGCTGATTACATCAACATGGATGAAGGCAACATCTATGGAAATGTCTGATGAAAAAGCTACACGTCAAAACCAAAATGGGTTTCACTATAGCGTTTTTAAGAAGATCAACAATGTCAGACTTCATTAATAATAAAACATTTGTCATGCATATTATGTAGCATCAAGATATCATGTCTTCCAACACAATACGTAATATACTTTTATAATATATGCATTTATCTTTGGAATATAAAATCCTTTAGGCAGGTTGGTTGAGCAAACAACATCTCTGAAGTATTAAGTCTTAAGCTGCACGGCTGTATTGTAGCAATAGCCAAAAATACATTGTATGGGTCAAAAATCATTAGGATATTAAATAAAGATAAGTGTTCCATGAAGATATTTTGTAAATTTCAATTATGTAAATTGTATTATTATTTTATTTATTTATTGTAAATGGACAACATTAAAGGAGATTTTCTTAATATTTTGATTTTTTTTTTTGCACCCTCAGATTTCAGATTTTCAAATAGCTGTATTTTGGCCAAATATTATCCTAAAGCTTATTTATTCAATTTTCAGATGATGTATAAATCTCAATTTCAAAATAATTGACCCTATGCCTGGTTTTGTGGTCCAGAGTCACATCTGTAAATTATGTTGATTGTTAAAAATGTCTCTACTACTTTTGTATATGACTATATGATTCGATTATATTATTGTGTCCAATTAAAGTTTCATATTAAATTATTTTATTTGTGAACAATTATTTGCTTCTCATATTATAACAAACTTGTGGTGTAATTCCTTCCTGAAATCACTGAGCCCAGGAGACTTTTTTTATTTTTCATTTACAGTTTTATGCAACCAGTCAAATGTTCTCAGCTTGGCAGTTCAGCAGTGGCAAATACAAATGTTTAATGAAAAAAAATACAAAGCAATGTTGTTGCATTTCACACAATGTAGTGAAACTAAATTTTCCACACACTTTTTTAGCAATTTTCCACTCAAGATTTGATCACACAAATATATGGTACATTGATACATAATGAAATATTATTTTCAAAACGTTATTCATTATTTTTTATCAATAGTATATTAATGCGACAGCAACTCACTGCAAAAATAAAAAGTGAAGGGGTAGAAAGCACACTTATTGAATCATAATTTATATGATATTTTCACTTTCAAATAACATATAGACTACTATTATAACTATAATACAGATTAAGGATATAATACATAGTTTTAATACTTAAATTGGAAACTCTTTGTGTTTATGTATTAATGGCTGAATATACTGTTCTGTCCTCGTCATCAGAGCTTGAACTGCTAAGGCAGCTCTTCTGCTTATGTTTGGGTTCTTTAACAGCAGACTTGGCAGGACAAGCCACAGTGGTGTAATTCACTTCATCTTCTTCGCTGGTATCAGATTCCCAGTCCATATTTGTGAATGGAAGTTTTGGCACACACGCAGAAGAAACATTCTCATAATCTGTATTTTCTGATTGGGAGTTCTAGGAAGAGGATGAAATAATAAAACAAATGTTCTCAATATACAGTTATATAAAAAGTGCTCTATACAATTTCTGGTTTATCCTTATTGTGAACACCTTATTGTGAGTGTGTTTGTTCTGTAGACATACAGTATGATAACACAATACAACTATTCTGAATAGACTATAATTATGTAAACTATTTTTTGAGCGAGTACATCATAACTCATCCAAACCGTGTTTTTGTCTAAATGATTCTATAAAGAACCTTTAAAATCTGAAGAACCTTTCCGTTTCACAAAAGGTTCTTTGTGGCGAAATAAGGTTCTTCAGATTACAAAAAGGTAAGAAAGAGATGGTTCTTTAAAGAACCTTTGACTGAATGGTTCTTTGTGGAACCAAAAATGGTTCTTCTATGGCATCGCCTGAAGAACCTTTTGAAGCACCTTTATTTTTAAGAGTGTACCCTGAATTACTACAGTAGCCCACTCTTTCTCTTTTTTTACAATGTCCTTATTTGTATATTGTATAGGTTGTATTTTATATATATTTAAACTGTATTTATCTGTATTATGTCTACTGTTAGTGTTAAGTGTTAACTGTATGCACCAAGGGTCTGAGCGTAACGCAATTTCAATTCTCTGTATGTATGCGCTGTACATGTGGCAGAATTGACAATAAAGCAGACTTTGACTTTGACTTTTTGACTTTTGACTTTATAAGTATTTAATATTTTTGACCTGTCAGGGTGGATTTTGCGGGAAATTGCATCCATACGCACTTCACCTGTGCGTGTCTCGTCATATTCGTAAACAGAGAGAGGCAGCTCTTTCTACTCTGGCGCATATGGTGTGGGAGTAGCAACCAGCTGGAAGATTGTTGTCACAATGAGAGAGAAATATTGACCATGGACCATGCAAAACGTGAAATCAACAGTTATAAAATCAAAGGAACTGCAAACAGAGCAGAGTTTATAAGCAAAAAGGGAAAGCGACAGAGTCCGTAATAAAACCCGAATCAACATGGGCTTTTCTGGTGATGAGAACTCCCAAAATTTGAAAGGATTTAAAACCGACCAGAGATGGCTTCTTTCGTACTCAACAGTTAAGATGTTTTGTTTAACCCACAGATAATCATGTAGCTCTCTAATAGTAGCGTGTGTTTGTTATAACGTTAACTAGCCTACTGGAAAGAGTAATTTCATTATGGGTTCATTGTTGTCGTGCTGTGCTGGATTTCATTTTCAATGATGGATCGCATAAATTATACACACAGTATGTCACCAAATTAACAATTAACGTCTTCTTTTTAAACTCTTCAGCTGTATAAATAGTCAATGCCGTCTAAGCTGGTTATCTCTTGAGCATGTGTTTTGATTTGCGTTTCATTCACAGTTTCAGATCTGACAGCTTGTAAACGTCATACATTTTTTAAAAAACGTCATAAAGACATACATGTTTCCAATTACTCGTACGAATGTCACGCTGAGATGTCATCGTTTTAGATTTCCATGTGTGCATTGTTGCCGCGAACCACATTTTTTTCGTATAGAGTCGAAGCAGAAACAAAACAATATTCTTCCACGAGTTGCATGCATTACTTGCATATTCTGAAGTCTTACCATTGTCTGTTTATTTTTTGACACCATAGTATAGACTGCTGATCCTTCAGGTACTCTAAAATCAAAATGTAAAAAAAATTAAAAGCATAATTAATACATTTGTCATATCTTTAATTGCGCATTGAATTTATACTTTTTTTCTGATTTCATAAAGTTCTAACTTATGTTTAACTTCTGATTTGAATATTCCTTATCTGTGTTACCTTTTTTCTGGCTCATTTTGCCCCTTGAAATCAAGAGTGGCATAGTTTAGGGTAGATGTAGTTGCGTCATTGTCCATATATCCATTTTTTTGTTGTTTTGGGGACTGTCTTCTCTGTAACAAAAAAAAAAGACAACTAGCTAAGCATCAAAACGTCAGTTGTTTGTGATACTGATGTTTAAAAAAAAGAACAACATTTTCTCACCTGTTTCATTTGTGGCAGTTTAATAGCAGCATACACCGTGTGGATATTAGATTTCGGCCTTGAGAGAAAAAAAGATGAATTAATTTACAAATAGTGGATGTCTCCATCAGTTCTGCTGCTATTACCTTGGATTAGGGTCCTGTGCTCGAGTAAGGTCTTGGGAATTGGGTGTCAGACGTGATTGATTAACTCTTCCATAACCTGAATCAGGAATGCCCGCCACTGACAGATTCTCCTGGGTATTATTACGTGATCCCTAAGTGTTTAAATATTCCAAACAAAAAATGATTTATCTCTTATTATTAAGCAAAGAGATATATTTCATTGTTTAAAAAATGCATATAAAGGTGATTTCAATATTATACTGTAAGTAGCTCAGTTCCAGAACAAACAGAAGTAAAATAACCAATAAAAGTAAGTTTGTCACTGTAGAAGAGCGTGACAGGAATACTGGAAAAAAGCACAAAGGATTATCTGCTCCACTTTGCTGATCTGATCTTGCCTTGATGATAGTCCTGTAAAATAACAAGAGCAATAATTGGAATAACTGATAACTTCAAACTCAACACCTGATAGGGCTATACTAATATGCAGATGAACTATTAAATGATACAAGCTAATTTAGTGGTATTTTCAACTTAACATCTAGAAAAAGAAAGAGGAATTCACCTGCGTATCAGAAAGATGGCCACAAAAATAAGAATCAACAGTAGAATGATGGGTAAGATGATCTGGTAGAACACCGTAAGAGAGTTACCTAAATTAAGAGAGGTTTGGGAAGAGATCAAGAAATCATTTTTAAAACAACCCTGCATGACTTAATCTAACCCAAATTCATTAATTTACCCAGTTAACCACTTAAAGAAGTACAAATTGTTGAAGAAATTGGCTTTAATCATGCATTTACGATGTGCTCATGTATAATTTTACCTTTAAAAAAAAAAAGGTGGGGGGGGGGCTGTATGAAATATTGACAGCTAGTGGTTGATATAGGTTTTGCAGTACAATGTCAAAATATTAGAAAAGGGTGTTTTCCACCAACTGGCAACCTGGAGTGTTTACTGTGAATACTATTGAGTAAGTGTTTACTGTGAATACTATTGAGTAAATTGGCAATAGGCAGGATCACATGCTTCAAAGTAGAATAACTGGCTGTAGCATTGTTTTTCAGAGAAACAAGTATGCGAACTTAGTATGTTTCCTAAAAATCGTTCAACAGACTATGGTATTTTTATGCTTTCATAAAGGTTTCATGGAATGATATGCAGAAAACCATCCTACACCCTGACAGATATCATTAAAATATTAGGGTAGGCTAAATAAATTGCTTGGTTATCATGGTTACGCCAAAGAGGCTGTTGTAGAAAGAGGGTCATGTCTAAAGTCTGGCGGAAGAAGTTCTAGCTAAATGCAGCTAATATTTTATTCCAATTTGAGTAATTTGCTAAATACATATTTATGATGTGTTATTTCATACTCACTGCCAATAAATAACATGATGTTTTTGGACCGTGATTTTCCTATAGCATTGGCTGCTGTACAGTAATAGATTCCTGGGTTCTGAGGCTGAACAGTGAAGTTCTGATGATCTGACAGTGCGGTCGTGTTGTCCTCCTCTCTGTACCATTTGTAGACCGTGGCAGGAGGATATGCATCTGCACTGCAGGTCAGAT